GGGTCCAGCTCGTGTGATCGGCTTTGAGGCTGTCGAGAGGGGCGGTCTCTGAGCGGGTCAGATACACACCAAAGCGAGCCGACTTTTTCACCGCCTACGTCGCCCTGCGGACTCCTGGCCTCGCCCTTCCTTCCCCTGGAGTTATTGCTCGGACCATCGTCATTTACACGTGTTGATTCTTACTGAAAAAGATTCCCCGCGCGCGAAATAAGAAGGATAAAATTCCCTGTAAGTCTAGCGAGCCAGAGACATGCGGCAACACAGGTCAAGGCGCATGCGTGGAATCACCAGGTGTGTGTGTGTGTGTGTGTGTATGTATGTATATGTGTGTGTGTGTGTGAGAGAGAGAGAGAGAGCTTCCTCCGTGTGGCATCTCCGCCGCTCCTCACTAACCAATTTATACCAGACCATATCTTAATGTTCCTCGGGATCAGCTGACCTACTAGGTCCTGCGACACTATGGGCGGACCATCGCCAGACTCGCCAACGTCGGCACCGTCGTCTTCCCCGTTGAAGTCTCGTGTGGGAGGCGGCGAGGGATTATCACTAACGTCGGTCATAACGGGGCAGATGAATAGTGTTCTTACCATAGACACTTTAAACCAGAGGACTGGAGACGCTCATACTTAGGTCCACCATAGTCACTGATGGTGCGGGTACAGCTGCTTGTAGTACAGTATATATATATATATATATATATATATATATATATATATATATATATATATATATATATATATATATATATAGATAGATAGATAGATAGATAGATAGATAGATAGATAGATAGATAGATAGATAGATGATGCTTTTCAGATATAAAGGTCATCACAGAGTACATTACATCGTTAAAATATGCTTAAATGTTGGATAACATTGGGTTTTCTTGGTAACCAAAGGAGAACCCTACAGCAGGGTGGTGCGGCTTCCCTCTGATGAGGAAAATGCCGTGTGGCTTAATGCGATGTCAATTAGTGCAAGCAGTCTGAAAGGTCGTGGTGAAACATTTCTCTGTTCATTAGACTTTGACTGCGACTTGTGTCACAGCAGAGGGAGGAGAGCGACTCATGGGACCTCCCACGGTATTCAAGGTAGTTCTCAAGTCATGCATGAAGCAGTCCATTGCCGCCTCCAGACCGACAACAATGGCTTCTGCTGTTGCTCGTGAACAACATCGCAGAGAACACCTCGACAATAGCCACATGATTTATGGCTTTGAGAAGTTGACAGAGAAAATTTTAGATTTTTTTTTTTATATTTCAGTATAAAGGACAGCGGATATGATGTCAGTGTTAATGGTGGACGACATTGGGAGAAGAGCGGTTCAATTCCTCTATTTCAAGGGCGTACAGTCCCCCTTTAAAGAGTTCCTTACGACTGGTGTGGGCAGAGAAGGATGGTTACGAGATTTCGAAGCAAAATTTCAAATTGCAGAAGAACAGTCTCATACTGAGGAAGTCCTCACTGCTGTCAACAATCATTACACCGACCATCTAGCAGTACATACAGTGAGGAGAACCAACGGTAATGTATGAAAGATGGTCCATGTAATAAGGAACCGTTTGCTGGCAGAATTATACCACTATAGCTTCAACATTTTCCGAATAATCACTCGCTGAAGAGAAAAAAATGGATAAAGCAGAGTTTAATTAATGATGTAATTGCATAATATACCTTTGTAATCACGAAAATATTAACGCATACTGGAGAAATGTCTCGGTTATATTTGGGTTTAGTTATATACAGTACGGTACGTTGCTCGACACATCATCTGACGTTATAGGTGGACGTCGTGTATATTAGATTCATCCATTATCTCAATTTACTTCACACTGTTTAATATTTTTTAGTCTGACGATTAATTTTAATATTATTCCGATGGGGTTTGAATATTTATGATGCATCGAATACAAAGGTTTTACAAGACGTCTTTATGTTTATTAGTAAAAAAAAAGAGATCTGGGGCTTTTGTTGGGTCATCTTTAGGTAAAAACATTATTACTAGACAAATTTTGAGTAATGATTTTACATGAGATGAAGAAATAATTTACTTGCTGATTAAATTTACGCTAGTGTATACCATATGTAAATTTACTTTCCTGGTGCGAACATTTTTTTATAATTTTAAAATTCTCTCATGACTTTTTTTTTTAAAAGTTTTAGAGGCTATGATAATTTTTTTCTTCATAATTTAAAGAACTGTAATTACGGTACAGAATTTACATACTATATATACAGTACAGTTCACGTTTTATGTACTGTGCCGCATGATCTGAGGACTGTATTCTGAGACACAGTTGAAATAATGTTCAACGTTATGTTATTGTCATTCAGAACGTAAGTATTAATTAATAATACCCTACCCTACCCTACCTTACCCTACCCTACCTTACCTTACCTTACCTTACCTTACCCTACCCTACCCTACCCTACCCTACCCTACCCTACCCTACCCTACCATGAGCTCACCGTCCCACTGTACAAGCTTTCATTATTTTTGTATAATTATTCCCTCAACTACATAAACACCGATAAACAGGGGCACATTGAGTTCCACCATTTTGTCTGAAAGTTTGTCTGTCTGTCTGTACCGCCGCCTCACCCACGAGTGTTGTAACAGGCAGCCAGGTAAATCATTGTACAGGTGTGAATTTGGGTCAGCTTCTGTGTGTGTGGGTCATGGTATTACCTGTGTGTTTAGGTGAGCATTATGGGGCGTTGTTTCACGTGGTCTTATATCTGTCTCTAGTGTGAACTCAAGGTACGTCGCTGATATAATTGGACCTCAACTCATCTCCCTACTTCGAATCACAGATGTATTTTATATTTTTACTCTTCAGTGGATTTGATTCTTCAACGACCGAGATTGTTTGAGACATTAAAGTTTGTCTCACATTATCGCTTATACTTTATCTTTAGTATTTCTATTAAGTGTCTTCTTTTAGCGTGTTTGTGTCTTATTCTGGTACTTTTTGGTACTTTTACTGAGGAATGTGATCTATAGTTTGGTTATTTGACAGGGATGTGTTCTTAAACTTGTGTTCCGCTGAGATGTGCAATTTTTTTCATACTATGCAGAAAAAAAAACCAGTTGTATATTTTGCTTTTGCAGAACACATAAAAAACTTGTGAGAGTTGCCAAGGGAGATAAAATAGCCAGAAGTTTTGTGTGAGCGCCGTGTTGCATCTGGTGTTACGTGAGACTCTCCATTACACATAAAATGCATTCCTATCCGCTCACTCACTCACCCGAACGCTCGCCACTTGTCAACAAACCCGCGAACGAGTGTGGGATTCAGTGAGCGCAGCCTCGGGGGCGTGCTAAAACTTAGGCAGGGGCCAGGGTGAAGTTACCTTACTCTCTTAAGGAGAGACCCACTTAAAGCTAATTGTTGATAATTGCCTCTGACAATGAGGAGAGGGGCGGGACTACACATGGGGTCATGACTGCGCTACCACCCAGTTTCCGTGACTGGAGCCAATGAGGGAGTCGGACAGTGTAAGGATCATGTCACGTCCTCCAATGACAGTGCTGGCGGTATTTAAGAGGTGGGAGGGTGATGTCGTGTGGCGAACTTTAGAACGCTGCCTCTCCGTGCTGTTATTATAAAACATTACGTCAATTTCAGCATTAAATAACACAAATAGACGCCCAGAAACAGACGTACAAGTTTATTACAACAAAACCCAACAAACTTATACGAGGAAACTTTCTAGTGACAACACCTTGCAAATGATGGCCAGAAAAACGAAGTACATCTGTTGTTGACTCAAGTGTTCTCCCTGACGCACCCGGGGCTCAAGTTCTGCCCATCGGGGGAACCTCCACTGAACTCCGATTTGAACCACACGTACTGGAGGCTGTGTGAGGGGGTGTGTAGGTGATGGTGGGGGTAGACAGACACAGACAGACATTGACAGCTTATAGTTAATGGAGGAGATACGTTTTCCCTCCCTCCTCTCATCTTCTCTCCTAACCCTTCTCACGTCTCTCTCGCTCTTCCTGCTCTTCTCCTTCTCTCTTATATCCTCTCATTTATCCCACCTTGTCCTCTCCCTCTTTTCACCAGCTTAGTTTTCTCCGACTCTTCTCTCGTCTCTTCTCCTCGTCCTCCTATCCTCCCTCCACGCCCCCTACTCTTCCCCACACCCTTTACTCTCCCTTCTGCCTTCCTACTATCCCCCCATGCCCCCCCCTAACCTCCTCCCGTGCCCCCTTACCCTCCCCCCGTGCCCCCTTAACCCCTCCATGCTCCCCTACCCTCCTTCTACGCCCTGCTACCCTCCTTCCACTCCCTCCTTCCAATCACTCCTACCCTCCCTCTACTCTATCCACTCCCTCCTATCCTCCATCCACCCTCCCTCCTATCCTCCCTCCTACCCTCCCTCCTACCCTCCCTCCACGCCCTCCTACCTTCCCTCCACGCCCGCCTGTCCTCCCGCAGCTGGTTACTGAAGGCGTGTAGTGGTGATGGTTGTCGTGGAGATTTTAACTAGGTCTTTGAGGGGAACTACGACATCTGGCGGCCACTCATCCCTTCATTCACACCCTCACACCACCCCAGCGGGAGGGAGGGAAGGGAGGGAACCTTGGCTTAATCCAGTCGGCGGGAGGGAGGAAGGGAGGGAACCTTGGCTTAAACCTGTCGTTGGGAGGGAGGAAGGGAGGGAACCTTGGCTTAAACCTGCTGCTGGGAGGGAAGGGGGTGGGAGGGCCAGGCTGCACGTATCCTCCGGTGGTCGTCTTCAAGTACTTGTGGTTGAAAGGTTATTAACTGCGATTTGATACGTCATTGACACCTTGTATGATCAGGGAGGGAGGGAGGTAGGGTTATGATTATCGTATGGGGGAGAGCCAAGCAGAGTAGGTGGAAGAATGGTAGAGGAAGTGAGCGTAAAGGAAAGTAGGAGCAAAGGAAATGAGGAAAGAAAAGAAGGAAGGAATGAAGTAGAAAAGGTTAGCGGGAGTACAACATATTTTACAGGCATTGGATTGAGTG